GAAGGTTATACGTGCCATTTTGATGTCAAGTAAAGCAGGAGCTGGCCAAGGAGAGGTGCAGCGAGAACGGGAATCCTAGGGCTCTGGCAACCCCTGTGTAAACTCCAGGTCAATGAACCCCCCAGAATTGAAGGGGAAGCAAGTTTTTCACAGGAGAGTGGAATTGCAGCAAGTAGGGACAGGAAACCTCTGAATTCAGACAGCAGATCTGTCTTCGTGAGAGTTTCCTTCCTAAAGCAACTGGCTCAGGAGACGCCGTGTCTCGTGAAACAGCTGCCTAACGTTGCTGGGAGGGGAGGTGTGTGAAGAAGATTTATGCCTGACTGCATGACCAGTGAGTAACTGACTTTCTATTCAGCAAGTACAAATTAAATTTAAGAGGCTGACTTTAAAGGAGAGAAAAATAAACAAAAGCGTCAAAGAAGCGCTTGTATCCCTGAAGCATTGGCAGATATTTACTGCTTCACATCTGAGAGAAACGGAAACTAGTTAAAGACATAGATGGAGATTTTTTTTTTCTCAGCCCCCTGTCCTCCCTGGATGGCATAAGTATCATATCATAAAATTAGAGGTTTAAGAAGATTGGGAATCCCACCTTAAGTGATCTTGCTACCAGCTGCGAACGGTGGATTATAAATTAAAACTGCTCCTGGTCGAAGTTGAATTTACAACTGAATGTGTTAATGGGAGTCTGAGTCTGGGCTGATTCATTTAACATGAGGGTGAACTGATTAATGGTTTTACTGTTTTATGGCTTCTGATTGAATTGGGAGTACAGGATAGGGAGAAAATAAATAAATAAAAAGTCAGACTTTTAAAAGGTGGACTTGGGAGAAAACAGAAAAACTCTTTTACATTGTAGCAGAAAGCATTATTCCACACTAAATTTAGATTCAGGAAGCAGAAAGGACGGTCACATGAAGGCCCAGACCTTTGAAGTTAAGGCCATAATTTCAAGATATAAAGTGGAGGGGGAGAATATGCAGATGGAAGACCAGCCCACCAGAGTAGTGGAAGCAGCATAGAGAGAGAGAGACATTAGAATTAACATCACAGGAGGCTAAAATAATGGTCCTGTGTGAGCGGGAGGGTCAGGTGAATGAGTTGGGGATTTATATTAATGAGAAGATTACTCAAAAATGTATACCTGCTTGACAGAAGAGGACTTAAAGAAGGAAATTGTGAAGGCAGTGCAGTTGGAAGGGGTACAAAATTCTGGCTATAATTTAGACATATATGACTGGATTCAAAGGTGGAACAATCATTACAGTTGGATTAAATTTGAGAGAAAATGGTTTAAAGAGGTTCTATATATGGCACTTTAAAACTGGTAAAAAGGGTGATAGAGATTAATTCAGGTTAAAATACTGTCAGCAATTTGGGGCTTTCTCCTTGTATGGGTGTTAATGGAGAGATACACATATAGATTAATTTATGCTAAAATATTGTCAGCAATTCTGCATTAGATTACCTGCTTTCTGACTGACAGACAGCCCAGCCTTATTGCTGGATAGATGGCATGGGATGAGTTCCATAGGACACCAACCATTGCATGGACTTTTTGCGATCTCTTCTGAAGGTACAGTAGATATGGTGCCTCCTTGATGGACATATGACTGATGTATTTCACCCCACCTTTCTTATCCTTGTCCATCAGGGGATATAGACCCCCATTACCACAAACCAGATCTGGGCCTATATGCTTGACTGTGTGTCTCCCTCCATCTGAGCTGTGACAAAAATGTAGTCAACACAGTAACTGCATGCATCCAGTCCCCTTCAGACTTAAAACACAATCTACCCAATGTTTTCCAGTAACTCAAGATTATACCGTAAAACTTTATATGGAAAAGGAAGGGTGGGTGGATGCAGCCTCTCTGAAGACTGATGGTTGTTTGCCTCTCTGACCCTGAATTATACTGCTTGGGGTGACTGGAGTGAAAGCTGCATTACTCTGCTCTGCTCCAGAAGTCCTGCCCCATCTGTACAGCATTGCTTCTGATTGGCTGTTAGCCACATTAGTGGCTGCCCATGTCACTGCACAGGATCCTGGGTTGCTGAACAGGTAGTGCCCCCTGTCATAGCTCTCCCCAGGCTACCAAAATGCAATCTAGGGGCCCATTTGTTGAGGGGAGGACTCATGCTTGCTGCAAAATGTGTGTGGGGGGAGCAGAGGTGATGGTTTGGTAAAAGAAATGGTAGCAACAGAATCTGTTCAGTGTTGTGAGTTCACCTCTAGTTAGAATAAGAGAAAACAATAGCAATAAGAAATACAGAGTAATACTTTTTATCTTAATGTGATGTTAAAGTCTAATTATTAAAGCTTTAAAAGCTAGCTGTTAATCATCTTGCTGCTAAATAGTGCTTTGGACTAATGAGCTTAGATTCTGTACACTGTATGATTAACTTATTTCCAAGAAATAGTGTTCTGTGTTTCAAATATGCCTGTAGTTTAGTTTTATGTTCACCAGATTTTTTTTCTCTTGTTGCTTAGCTACTGAATATCTGCTACTTCTGAGAAATGATACAAAAATGGGGCTTGTGTTTCTTTATAATTAAGACGTATTCAACTTTCATAATCAAATGTTATTAGGGCATCCACAATCAATTTCAAAGTGGAAACATAACACCATTTGCATGTACATATTCGTTGAATTGGGCTCTATGTTGTCTTTATTAGTAAGACCCACAGTCATTTTTCTATATTTCGGTTGGAGAGGTGTAGTAAATTCTGCAGTAAAACAGATTTTTTTTGCATATCTTTAATTAGTTATTATACATCTAGCAGACTGTGGTTTGTGGGAGGAAGGGTAGTCTGTATTGAATTGTAAGAAATTCAGATATTTACCATATTCAGCTTTGCAAACAACAACACTCCTTGACCTCTCTCAAGATCCAGAATAAAGAGACTTACCATAGAGTCTTCAGCTGCAGTCCTTAACATGCTGAATAAAGACTAAGCATGTTTTGTAGTACTTCAATTCTATAATATAATAATACTTGGGTCACTGGGTGCAATTATAAACCTGAGTGGTAACAGTGATGAGAGTACTTTTGCACAGCTCTGCCAGTGTGAGAGATGCTGCAGTGGGCAAAACCTCCTCTCGTGCCTTCTCTATAAATTCAAGACTTTTGGAACTGTCTGAATTTATTGAATCCAGGAAATGGGGATGCCCATTCCTTCTAACAAAAGAAGGTAGTTCTGGCAGATCTGGAAGCTCCTGGTAGGAAGCAATGCCATTCCTGGCAGTAGCGTCCCAGATGAGTCAGTGCACTCTGGATCCTGAGTTACCTCAACCGGGGTCAGTTTCTCTAAACTCTGTGGCCGGTGTGGCTTGAAGAACTGATGGTCCTCCAGAGGGGCATGGGAGAAGGGCAGACAACTTTCCAGGGATGCCAGAATTGACCATATCACAACCAGCTACAAATTTTCTAGAATGTGGCTAACTCAAAGTTATCCATGGATGATTCAATGGACCTACTAGATTTCATCTTTTTTCTTTATTTATTCTCCCCACCCCCCAGCCTTAACTAACATCTCTTCTAAAACTTCAACTATACCATGGAATCTGTGGCAAGAATTTCACAACCATTCTCTGTTCACTCTGTTCAAGGGAAGGATCATGTAGGGTCAATAAAAGAACATCTTCAGTTATCTCATACAGCTCTTCATTGTTCTTTTGCTGGATGGAGTGATGTTAGTAGCGGTCAAAGTGAAAGACCGCTGATAACATAGTCGTGTTAAACATATTCTGTCATCTCCCTGTCTTTTCTTTTGTCAATTTGACCCTAGTGGGTTTGCCTTTATAATCTGCTTGTCCAAACTGTACAATCTGCTTATTTTGTATGAGCTTTTTGTTTGTTTTAGGAAATGGAACTTAACTTACATTTGTTGTACTATTCATTGTAGCGATATGTTAAGTCTGAAGCCTGAACTTTAGAAATGTTCTTTAGAGGCCTAACAAAATGCCCCATCGCAAAAGGGCACTGTTTACCTGGAAGGATTATATGCCTAGAAAGATTATCTTTTGTTTACCTGCCTGTCTGTGTCTGCACACCACTGCCTGTCACTTCTGCCCATCTGCCTGCCTGCCCACTATGGTGCCTTTCAGTTCTGTACCTTAATCTATTCTCCACACTCTTCATTTCTTCATCTGTAAACTTCCAACCTTTAAAGTTAGAAGTTTACAGCTTGGAAGGCATTGTCAATACAGTAGTCGGTGACAGTAAGAGTACAAAAAACAGTATGCAGGTTTGGAGATGAAAATGAATATATATCTTTTTTAAGAACTGTATTTATTTTTTCTTCATGTTCCTGTTGTTGAAAAAGCACATTTTAAGGCACTTCATATGTAAACTAGCTGTTTGAAATCTGGCACACTCTTATCTAGGTCTCTCTTTTCTATGATATATCCAGATTTCACATTGATTGATTGATTGATTTCCATTTCATTTATATATTGCCCCATTAGTGCACAGCACTATTCCGGGCAGTTTGCATATAAAACCAAACAGGGTATAACAACAGACAAGATAATATAATAATAAACCTAAATGTAAGATAAACATGGGAAAATAAAATGGCAAATGAGTCACAACAGGGCAACATTTCCAATAAGGCAGCAGAGCAAGAGGCCAAAATGCAAGTGAGGCTGCGTTCAAAGGCTTCTCAAAAGAGAAGCATCTTCAGCAGCCCCTTAAAAATGCATGTTAGTGGAAAGTCTAGTGATCTGACTGTCTGAATCAATTGATATTCAGAGCTCAGATCTAAATGGAAATGGTTTGGATAATTCTGGACCAAATCAGGACCCAGCCTGAAGTGTCAAATCAGGTTCCGGTGCATAGCCCTACTTCACATGAACTATATACCCTGTAAGTGATAGTTTCTGATTCAATTTGGAATTTTTATTATGTGCCCCATTTCTTTTTTCAATAATTTAAAATAGTATATCTTTCATGAAGAATTTTGACTTTCTAAATTATGTAAGATGAAATTCATTTGACAATTCTTGATACCGAAACAATGGACTGAATCCATATGTAGTGATACCTAGAAACATGTTTGGTGGGTGAACGGAACAAGACAGAGTATTTTTTTTTTCATTAAGAAGCCTTGAAATCTTGCTGATGAAGGGAACAAGACAGAGTATTGTTTTCATTAAGAAGCCTTGAAATCTTGCTGATAAAGGGGAATCTTGGTAGGGAGTCTCAGTTTGGCCAGATTAAAAAAATCATGGAGAATGCAAAAAATTGCAAGTACTTGTCATATCACTACTGACAACTGAGCATTGTGAGCATTGAAATGAAGCTGGCAAATGCCTTTGTTGGAATGATAAAATGCACACGTGTAAATAATTTGCTCAGGAACTCATGAAATATCTGGGTCACTCTACAGTGATATTTGACACTATGAGTTGGAACAGCAAAATCCTTGATGGCAATAATGGGACAAATTCCACAGAGTTTTTGTATTGGAATAAGTTAATTAATTAATTAATAAGTTAATTCTGAATAAGATTCTAAGCAAGGCATGGAATGCAAGATACATGTAGGACTTAAATAACAGATATATTTTATCAGTTGTAACTATTTTTGTGCGCCTGGTTTTTGAATACATTTTATGTCTGTTATTTGTATTTCTCCAACATAGATTCCAGACCGAACTCAATTATGATGTTCTAGAAGTGCATGATGGGCCGAATCTTCTGTCACCACTTCTGGGATCTTACAATGGTACACAAGTTCCCCAGTTTCTGTTCAGCAGCAGCAATTTCATTTACTTGCTGTTTACAACAGATAATAGCCGGTCTAATAATGGCTTCAAGATCCACTATGAAAGTAAGTATAAAATGTTAATATTTATTGATACATTTATCTGCAGTTTATGCTGATACATTTTTCGTCCACATGTATTCACAGCTGAATGACATAATATTGGGCACATATTCGGGTCATGGGTACTACAAACCGAGGACCATATATAGGATGAAGCCTAAACAGGTCTGCCCCATTACACGCTCACTCACCTGTGCAGGAAGTTGTCTTTTCCATTACCAGGCCATGCACAGCTATACCAGGGATACAAATACTGTACAAAGCTCCATCTCTAACTAGGCATTATCATTGGCAGGTAGTGTTAATGGCAAGTGTTTACAGGAAACAGTCGTTGCTAATGAAGTCCTTAGCTTTTTTATGTACCTATGCAAGTTGGTTGCTTTACCTGCCTTTGACCTCAGTTGAATAACTACACAATTAACGCTTCAGCAGTCTTCTCTGTGCTGAACAATTAAAACACTGCACCTCAACATTTGATACCTCGACATTTAAAAATATGAATTCAATTTTGAGGAACTGCAGAAATATAATTTTGGAGGGTCTCAGTACCTGGAAAATACCAGAGCTGCCCTTATATTCAGCAAATCTATTTTGCTGTGTGTTTCTATGTGTTCAAATTTCATGTCACCAAATGCAAAAGAAAGCTGGGTTCCTGGTCCTTTCAAGCAGTGTAGAAAAAATAATAATTTCAGCATATGTAACTTTCATAAACTACACCTGCTGACAATTCCTTCCTTTTAAAAAAATCTCTTCAATAAGAGTGGATATGAAATCTCTCATGAGACCTTTCTGATAAAAAATTCTGATTTTTTCCCCCTTTTCTTACCCTGTCCCTAAAACAAGGGCTGAGAATGGGGCTTTTTGAAAAGAATGAACTCCAAATCCCCTTCTATAGTGGGAATACCTAGGGATGAATTATGTGAGTTTGGTGTTTTTTTCCCCATTCTTAAGAAAGATTCTTCTTTATAGAATATTTCCTGAAAATTATCTACCATTCATCGAGTAGACTTTGTCTAGAAGGGCGGGGTATAAGTTCAAAAAAAGTAAAAGTAAAGTATTCTGTAGTGTGCGGCATTTCCCTTCTATAGTACTCTGAGACAAAAAAAGTAAAGCTAAGTATTCTGTAGTGTGCAGCATTTCCCTTCTATAGTACTCTGAGACAAAGTAGGAACATTTAAAGGTTACAAAATGGTACCCAGGTTGCAGATGTAGCTGTTGTTATAGAGACTTTCACCAGTGGAACGAGGGTTTAGAAGAGAGGAAGGGAAATATCTGAGCTCCTGCCACTGCAGGTGATCACCTAGAGAGTGCATGGCTAATAAGATTCTGTATCCTGCCACCTTGCAGGTAGGGCAAACAGCACAGTCTCAGAGTGCCACTGAAATGTTGGCATGGTAAACAACTTCTGAATCTTTTACACTTAAAAGCCCCTGGAAGGGTCACCAAAGGTCAGAGCAGAGTTCACATAATTAGTAGATATGATTGATACTTATGTGACATTTCAAATTTTTGATCATTCATTGCAAAATTCAGAAGTAGGTGGAAGCACATATAAAAGATTTTACCATCTGAATTTCCCTTTTGTCATAGCACGGTGGATGTAAATACAGTACATACATCTATCAGGCTGAAGAACCCAGCGAAAGTACTTCCACCTCACATTCTACCCTAGCCAGACCAAACACCCAGCAAAGGAATAGGTGGTACATCTACTTTATCACGCCCCATTTGCACTTTTGAAGTTTGCTCTGCAAGGTTAAATTCACTCCTGAAATTAAAAAGCAATTATAGATCAAAGGAATTTTAATGTAAAGTTCATTTGACAGTGTAGTACTGTATAGCTGTTGTTTGCTGATGGCTGAGCCTGGCTGAGCCTGCTTAAATCTACATGGAACGTCACTGAATGGAACTAAAAAGAAAAGAAAAAGAATGGAACCACAAAAAGCCACAACTTTACTGGTTACACCAGCAGCTCCTGTGGCTTACCACTGGGGATGGATCCAGTTCATCAGGAGCCAAGAATGCTACCAATCTCAACCACCACCTCCTTCAGATGTCAGCTTGAGGGCAACCCAGGAATGATAGTCCCATGGATTTCCACATGGGCATACGCCATTCTGTGGCTCCTTACCGTCCAAAGGGCATTGTAGGGCTTCTGCTTCCAGGTTAGACCAGGCTGTGGCCCTGCCCATTGTCTCTCCCAAGGGGATTCCACTTTAACCAGAGCATGCAGGTCCCCTGCCTGCTGCCCTTCTGTCACCAGGATCCATCCCAGTGCTATGAACTGTCATAACAATAGTACTGAGTCAACAAGAACACTTCACAAACTAGACACTATCCTTGTTTCTACTACCTAATATAAAGGATTCAAACACCCTTAAAGCAGAATACCACAAAATTATCACAGTCAACGGAACCCCATATATATAGCATAACAATGCTCCTAATAACATCGTTGAAAGAAAAGAGAAAGTGGATGGGAGGGAAAAGCCACCAAACAGCAGGATGGGGTGGCAACAGCATCTACGTGCTTTTAAATGAGCTGTGTTGCATGGTGTTGACTCTGCCCCAACAAGCCTGCCAGCCCAGAGCCACTGCCATCCCCTCCTACTGGGCCATCCAGTGGCTTGGCCATTGTAGTCATATGCTACGTCCTAGCACTAGCCACGTGGAGCCACCATGCAGGGAGGCTGACCGTGCCAGCAAGATCTGGCCGTGCTACCACACCAGCAAAGACACTGGCCCCAGGTGAGTCTGAGACCCAGTTTTATGCAAGATAAAATAATGGTCAGACAAGCCAATCCTGTGCAGAATTAGCTGCAGGTAATCATATTAAAGTATTCAGTGTGGTGGAATGGATAGAGTGGTGGACCAGGACACAGGAGACCTGGGTTCAGTTCCCGTCTCTGGCCTGGGAAAATGTGTTTGTGTGTGTGTGCATGTGAATGTGTGTTTGTGTGCAATTCGTAAAATCCTTCCTTAAATTCTTCACTTACCTTGAACGCTGTATTAGGGTTTCTATAAATCAGTTCCAATTTGATAACAATAACAATCATATTAAAACTGGTGGGGTTCTCTTTGCAATGTTTACGTGGCATTTACAATACTGTATTTTTCCGTCTCTAAGATGCCCCCATGTATAAGACCCCCCACTTTTCTAATCCAAAATTAAGAAATCTAAGTGGGACTTAGCAAGTCTAGGGGGAAAGGGATCAAAGTGCTGCAGAATCGCTTTGATCCTTGCTTTCCCCTCCACTTATTTTTGTACTCTCTTCAGCTTACTTCCATATATAAGACGACCCTCAATTTTTTGTCTAAAATTTTTAGACAAAAGTATAGTCTTATACATGGAAAAATACGGTAATCAAATTTTGTTATTTGAGAATCTGCCATAACACTACAGGGAAGCTCAGAGTTATTGTCTCCATATTAAAGACAGAGATGGGGTTTAAAAATCTTAACAAGGCTATTAGGAGTTCATGTTCAAAGACAGTTTTTTTCCCTTTCTTTCTTTAAATTTCCAAGCAGTATTCTAACTCTCATTTTACTGGCTTTCCTGTTCTCAGCTACTGTACCAGTTCTTTCATTGCAGCCTTCAAAACAGAAAATTAGATAAAATGAAGCTTAAAAAATGCTGAACAGCATTTCCACAGCTTATTTGAATGAGACTAGACAACATTGTTGCAACCTTACTGTACATTATAATTAGTTTCATCACAAAGTTATTTATGGTTAACAAATGTGTGGTAAC